TGGTCATAATTTTAGTTTTACCGCATGCATGTCTGTTTTGCGTAATACCATAGTAAAACTACTGTACAACTGTCACCGAATGCTCGCATCAATGCTTTGTAGTCATAGCGCTCTAAGAAAATAACGATTTTTTGCATAAAAAACAGACATGCATGCAGTAAAACTATAATTATGACCAGGGTAGGCATTTGGTGAACATTTTATGAATTGCACATAAAATTTTAATAAATTTCCAACATTTTGGTATAGTTTTTGTTAGTAAAATATAATTGTAAATATTTTTAATTTAATTTACAGGTCGTACTGATACGATGGGACACCCAATAGTTGGTTTTGCTTTATAAATACCTGTTTACCTAGAACATTTTGTCCAGGATATTTGAGTTATTAAAAACTTATGATAGTTGTTTAAAACTGTCATTTTCTCGATTGTCATTAGAATTTGAATGTATTTTCTTGATTTTAAGGAAATTTATGTGGAGTTTACTATTACAAAATTTAATAATTATAATTCTAAACCAATTTGTTTATCATATTTAACAGATTTAAGAAAACCTTTTATTTATTTCAAAGTGAATTGCAATGATATAATTGTTTGACAAATATTCCATTTAAATTACATCAATTTATTAGTTTATAACATAGTCAATATTATAATTGCATATTCTCGTTACCTTTGGTTTAATTACCAAAATTATCTGTAAAAATACTAAATGGTAAAGTGTAACAAATATCTTTCACTTTAATACAGTATGATTTGACTAAATGTTATATAAATCATATGATATGATCAAATAATTGTGTTAACTTGAAAAGATAGATATTTCTGAATTTAGACCATTAAATATTGAAATTTTGTCGAAACTCAACAGAATTTGTGATGATTTTGCATGATTTCAAAGGTAGAAAGACTTTTGTGTTGTTTGCTGCAGAGACGACATATTTATGTATGATTACAATGTTCATCAAAGAGTTGCAAACTTGTTGTTGATTTGTTGAAACTCAAACTGTTGACAATAACTGTTAGACTAACTGTGTAACCAGTTTTCAAACCATTTTGTATTGCGAACTAAGTCTAAAAAGTTTCAAATAATGACTGCACAATACGATTATTAAAAACTAGTTTATTTATTGACTCAAAGCGCAGAGAATTAAAAGAATTTGATTAAAATAAGAAATATACGAAATATACACAGAATATAATCAATTAATTTATTAGGAGATGCAATCGATTAACTCGATTGGCATTCAATCAAATATAATCACATTTCGTGCCAAAGAATCGTATAATCCGTGAATATATTAAACGAATTTTGGCACTAATTCTGTTCACTTTCAATCGCATATGAAATTTAGTTCGTTAAACCATTTCATTGAAATGATTGTTAATAATTATAATTTGAATCAAAAGCATTTCAAATCCAATTGCGGAAAATAATTATTATAATAATCTTATATAACAATAATATTAAAAACTGCTCTCAAATGAATAAAAATTAAATAGAAATGAGAATAAAATATAGGAATGTCTACAGAATATTATTAATTACAAAAGTTGTGAATTTAGTATAAATCAAACGACAATCATTTCATATAAGTTATGTATAGAATTAAAATCTATCGCCAATTCGTTAACACAGAGTTCAGCCGAACTTTTTGCTCATCAGCTCCTCTTCATTGAGTTGAGTCCTAAAGTTAACCACTTTTTCCTTAAACTTCAGCAACACTTCCAGATTCTCATCCAACACTTCCTCCAACTGCTGGGCGTAAGCGTCGACGTCGTAGTCAACCTCTGAAGTCATTTGAAGCAAATCTATATGTGTTTGACTCCAACGCGGGATGTTCTGCACAGACATTTAAATTCAGTTATAGTTTACAAAATTTAATCATTTCTTAACAATCCATACATCGATCACATTCTTGTGGACATCAAGAATCTCTTCCTCTATCTCTTGTAAATGAGATATTGTCTCATGAAATGTATACAAATCTTCGGGCAATTCTCCGGACTATTGAGTGAAAGCAAACAAATACTCGTAAATAACAAATGATTGTAAACGTCACAAAACAGCTTACATTAGAGTTGTGAAGAATGGCTAAATCATCGCCGCTCGCAGACATGTCTTCATCGCCATCACTGGTCTTAAGATCTGGATTATCAGCTCCGAGCTCTTTGACGCGATCAGCATATCGTAGA